ATAGCATAAGCGACGAGAGGTCTAATTCCATGGCTATAATAAATTTATAAATTAAAAAAACACAACTGGGACGTTTTAAAATGCTGTAATAATTAAAATGGATCAAAATGCCGATTATAGCAAACCGTAGAAAATATTAGATGTTATGTTTTATTATCTTTTTTCAACATTTTCTATATCTTGTTGCCTTTTACGCAGACACGCCAATGGATTTTCGTTCCCGGCACGCTTCATCCGCCTTACTAGTCCAAAAGCTAGCGATGAGTCACTCTCTATAATTTCGACCGCGGAGTATAGGTTAATATTATACTTAGAAAAAATAAAAAAAAAACAATTCTTCCGTCTCAAAAAATTATAAGTTTCGGCGCTGCATACACAGTAATTTCGTTTCCCCAATGATGCTACATCTTTCTTTTGCTGCATGCCTGTAGCGCTCTTAACTATGTGTACCCTGTGCCAATCTGTCATGGCATATCACGTATGGTTAAATTGGACCGAATGTCATATAAGGCTCGTTATGTTAAATCTGTCATGATAAAAATGTAGTCAAATACAGTCGTGAAACTACTTGATTGGCTATCGGCTCGGATATGATTTGGTCTGGGTCCTTTTTTATCAACGGTGCTGAGAAGCTAATAGTCCGCTCGGCGATAAACGAGCTCCCAGTAGCTTGTGCACCTCCTTCGTGACGTTACCCATGTGGTAGGGGTGAAGGCTCTGAGGCCTGCGTTCTCCATAGATGACGAGTTGTTGGTAGCTAAAGAAGAGTCCACAATGGAATTTGTAATCCAAGACACAGATGTTACACTTCAGTTAGGTACTTGTTTAGTTCAATTAGGGTTTCAACTGACCCTGTATGTGAGTTCAAGTTTGAGGGTTTCGACTGACCCTGTACAGTGTTTTGCACTGATTCTACGAAATCTTAGGATTTTTCTAACACTTCGAGTACTAGAACTATGATTTTGTGGTGACTAGACACTTAAGTTCTGAGGTTCCTGATGGGAACCTGTAAGCTGTCAAAGCTTGGGCACTACACCTCGTAGTAGGTATAGTGTCGGGGAGCTAATGAGCTCATTACCCGTAGAGGTGGATCTTCATCGTAGGCAAGGACTGACCTAGACGGGAAGCTTGAAGAGCTTAGGAAGCTAATGAGCTCGAGGATGGGATTTTTGTAAGAAGTCTAACTTGGATATACAAATTTTTAAGAAAATTTATTTACAAATTATTTATTTGGGCTAATAACAATGTGCTAATGCGCATGTATATTATTCTGGGTTATACAGTACGAGGTAAAATTCGAGTTACTAGCGTAAATGTAAAAAGGGGAGTACACACTCTGGGCGGGTATATGTCCCCTGCTTAAAGCTCAAATGCCCAAAGTCGACATTCGATCACTTGTGAATTTGGTGTCTGGCGTCCCTTGGTTCACATTCAGATAAGCTTCCAAAACTATAATGGCGGCAAATCGCGATCTCGGTTTATGGCCTCTCCGGATTATAGAATCTTCCCAAATAGTAATGGACGGGGTGTTGTGTTGATTAGGTCCGAATTTCATAATATTTTTTGGAATTTCCGAATTCGAACCTAATTTTCAGGCTCGACGCGTAAATCGAGTCGTCGGGAATGAGGGTTGTTGTATCGGGAAACATCGGTTTAAAGTGTACCTACTTTCACGCGCCTCATGATTATGGATGGAGCGACCGGCTTAATCGGGAAGTATCGGCCTCTGTATGTCGTTGTTGGTTGGAGCTGGTAACGGTGGCGTGCTGATTATCCCGATTTTTCCGGTTTTGCAGTCCCTAATGGAAAGTTAGGTGAAATCTCATATCTTTTTTTAACTTTATTAAAATTGATCACAAAAGTCAGCACGCCAAAATATACCAAAACCTCAGTTATCTTAAAACTATTCTTCACACGAAGAGTGGCATTCCAGTATATTAATTTGTATCCTTAGTTTGCTGATATATATCGTGGTTATCAAGTAGTGCATAAGGCCTGGTTTCATTGAATTTAAAAAATCCATAAACTCCATGCAATATGGATTATTTATGCATGTTAAATATTTGACTTCTCTGTAGACTGTAAACATAAGAAAATCATTTTTGTTCATTCAAACTGAGATTTTGTGGCGACGGAAATGAAAAGTTAACTCCTGAATTCTTGTTAATTTTCTATAATTCTGTCAATAGCAAGTGAACTCTACTTCATGTCCACCAATAAGATATTTGTTGCCCCTGATATTTTGTATATTAAGGACATTAATTTAGTTGAATAAAGAGTGTATATATGTAGAAGAATGGAAACTGTCTCAAAACCTAACTTTAGAACATCCTTGACTTAAATTAGTTGTTGCAGAAACAGCAGAACTTAATTTTTAAAGCTTAATATCACATACATTTGCAGACCTCATTTTGCTTGCACGTGTACACAAAAAGCTTTGTGGTCTTCGCAAAATGAATGAACATCCCAAAGTATGACTGAACCAGGCCATGAGACACAAATTGTAAAATTGCCGCGTACATACATTACAGACACACGATCTGTTAAGTAAAAAATTGCGGTGTGACGTCAATACTAATTGTGATGCGACCTTTTCAATTAAGAGGGGCACACAGCTCGTCGAGTGAACGGTTTCTCTGGATAAAATATCACACTTCCAAGAGTTTGTTTGTCACTTCGTTGTTCACTTGTCAAGCTTTATACTTATACCATCTGCAAAGATACAACGAAATGTCTGGCCTCTGGAAAACATTCACATTTATTGGCGTAAATTGTATTACTTTTAGCGTCTATTAAAATTTCCACATTAAAACGATAAATCCAAATTTATTAATCGAGGAAATAACAAAATGAGCAATAGAGTAAAATAACACAAGTAGCTACTTTGAAGCAGTAGGACTATAGTTGTGAGTGTTCAAGTCGTTTATAAACCGTTTCAAAGTGCATATATTATAAACAAGAAACTGTGTAACTTGAATTCCACACTAAAAGACCAGTTAACAGTATGTCTGGTTGTCAGCAACTTTAATTGTAAAACGCACTTTATATTTAAAAGTTAAAGGTAGGTACGTAATAGCATACAGGCAATTAGAAAAAGCAATCTGGACCATTCCATAGAGTATATGGCATACTTTGCTTTGCTATTATTTAGCTTTTAAATATAAATTAAGATATTTAAATATAAAGTTACTGACTGAACCAGACAATGTTAGTTATTAGATTTAACAAATAGTTTAATTAATTTAATTCATCTCAGAATATAAATCAGGATGCATATTTTGTTAACCTTAAATGTTTTCTGTTACTTTACCTTTTCTGTAATTAATAAACGTGTCTATAAGCCTAATGTAATCTAAACAAGTAATATATTTTTAGCCAAAAGTTGAGCTAAATTATATTACATTTTATTTAGGATGTTGAGTTTCAAAACTGAGAAATATACTTCTAAATTAATGAAATTACCTACGGTTAACTAAACTACAGTGCAAAAACAGAGTTTTTGAATCGATTAGCTAAAAACAAGTGCTTTTGTTCATTCATACTTATTCCATAAACAATTTTGAAGTTGTTATGGAAAGTTAGAAAATGTTTGTTATATTTATAACACCATATATGTTCACGAAATTTTTGTAAGGCGATGATCTAGAGTAGAAATTGTAATTATAACAGTTTACAATTTGTTCAAAAATACTAAAATGTAATTTTTAATTAGATCTACAATGATATTCCCTGAAACACCTAATACACTTCAAATTCTCTTTATGTATTTACTTACTATATTATTTGTTAGAAAATGAACAGAAATCAAAATAATTACACTTATAATTATTTTTATAGTAACTGAAAATATAATTAATTACGCATCTCTAAATTGGATAAAAAATAAAAATTAATGAAAATAAAATTTTTATAATAGACCCTAAGAACGTACATATTTTAAAACTAACTTCATCAGAATTGCAAGTCCTAAGCCTACTGCGATTTTTTTATAGGTGCCAATTCTTGATCTTTTTTCCGAAATCTAATAATACAACGTTATGCTACACTCCTTCACGAGAAAAAGTGTAAATTGTTCGAGCAAAAGTGCAAATTGACTTTAATTCAAAAATAGTAAAATGAATATAAAAATAAAATAATTTAAATTAAAACCAGACCTTTATAGACATATAAGACTTGAAACCAAAAAAATTGCTGCTACAGTTTTTCAAAAACTGTAAAAAAATCATAGCAGACTTAGGAATTGCAATTTTGAGGAAGTTATAGTTTACAAATATGCGTGGTTTTAAGGTACATTTTTTTAGTTATTATGATAATGGTATGTACATCTTTAAATCAGGACATCCTGTATAATTAGTTCCTTAATCTTGAGATAAATAGGTGAGATGAGATACTAGAGATATATTGTTGAGATATAATAGAAGTGAGATAATAGTTGAGATAAGATCTTGAGATAAATAGTTATCTACTGATTTATCAAAATCTGTTATTTGTTATTTTTAATTCAGGACATCCTGTATAATTAGTTCCTTAATCTTGAGATAAATAATTAAGTACCGATTTATCAAGATCTTTTATGTTATTGTTTTAAGTATTTATTATAAATTATTGTTTTTAACCTTCCAATCAAACAAGACAGCAACGCAGTTTATCATGGATTTATAACATACATTCTTTCTTACTTTCCCTTTTTGTATCGCATAATTTTAAATTTTAAATGAGACTAAATTTGCCTAAATGTATTATGTAACAACTCTAGGTTGTACTCACTTCAATATGTGTTCGTTTTTTATATGAGTTTAAATTTTCAAATTTTACAATACATGATGACCTCCACATTTTAGACACAACTAAAGTAAAATCGTTTGCATCAATGAAAACACTGATAAAAATAGAAATAAATCCTATCAATACTTTCATATGCAAGAAAATGTGATTTGTAAAATATATATTACTACCTTTTTTAATGTTATTTGTAATCACATTTTTTTATTTTCTTACAGGTACAGCTAAAATGCCTCACTGGCAAGTTGAGGATTATGCAGATCTCAATAACGATATCGAAACTTCTCTAAATCTTGGCACAGAACTAGCCAGCAATACATACAACGTCAGGTAAATAAATAAATAAGTTTTCTATTTAAGACTCATTTTTGTAAATGATAACATTCTATATCGATTAACAAAATATCAGTTTATTATACAGGGTGAGTCAGATTTAACGTCCTTCTTTTAGCTACAATGTGATATAGTTAAAATAAACTACTAAAAAAAATCCTATGCCAAATAAAATTGCTTCCAATTTTAAACGAAAAATATTTTTTTATGTCAGCAAATTCAATTTTTGTTTAATTTATATAAAATATAAATACTAGATAAGTTGGAATACATATGCCAAACTAATTTCTTATTTGAATCAGTCTTTGAAAATTGTGTTAACTATAGAAAAACAGTACAAAATTTATGTGCAAGGGAAAATATAAATCCTTGGGGAACTTTTGGAAAAACGTATATATGAAAAATCCTATTTACATGTTATATTCTTTCGGATCCGATGTTTGTGATTTGCATAGCAGACAGAATAGAAAAATTTATTCGTTTTGTAAGAAATTCAAAACTTAATTAATATGATTTTTACAGCGAAGCCATTCTTTCTATAAATGGTATGACAGTTTTCAAACAAGAAGCACCTTCTCCTACATCCACCGAGATGCCACATCTACAAGTAGTCCGACAGACCCGCCAAAGTCCAACTTCCACCCAGCAGAACAATCCTGTGAACAGTACCATGGAAGATAACAGCCAGAACATGTTCAACAATACGATCAACCAGTTGTTGAGTCAGACCGCTCTAGTGAACCTGCAGAATGTTATGGACAGTAAGAAGCTCATTATATAGCATATAAAAAGCTAATATAAAATTTATGTTACAAAAAAAATTAGGGAAATGGAAAACGTATAATTTAAGTTTTGACAAGGGTTTTCTAGATTGTGTTTTTTTAGGATTATTTTTAACATACTAAAAATGTAGGATATTGTGATTAATACCTAACTTTTTTTTTTTTAGATAATAATTTGACAAACTCACCAAATTCACAAGATAACTATGCAGTTTCATCGACGAATTACAATTTAATAATCGAAGACTACAGATTTCAGTACGTATTGGCGGCGGCAACAAGCATTGCTACTAAACAAAATGAAGATACTCTGACTTACCTGAACCAAGGACAGAGTTATGAAATTAAACTTAAGAAACTAGGAGACCTGTCTCTGTACAGAGGGAAATTGTTAAAAGTAATAAAAAAATTATTATCTATTTTCTCTTACCTTAAGGTGCGTATATATCTGCGCCCCGCTCCGAGCGCGTGCCCCGAGCGTTTGCAGCAAGTTTTCTAGATTAGTACGGGGTTTTCGAGTTGAGCACGAACGGCACGCACACGGCACGTCACAATCCACCTCGAGTCGGTTTTTTCGACTAACGCTTTGTGAGTTTGCAGCACATATTTGGACGGGAGAGCGAGAGGCTTGTTGTTCTTGCTGCACGTCCATTCAGCGGTAGTATGGAGTGGTCGGAAGAAAATGTAATTAAACTTATCGATGTTTACCATGTGAAATCCCTTCAGTGGGATCCTCAACATAAAGGTGACATTCGAGTAAAATTCTTATATTGACCGCTTATTGCTTACGACCTCAAGTCGATCATAAGCTCCGTATCATTCCGTTTTTTAAATAGGATAGTGTGCCGCCAACGTAGCTGTTTCCTTTTCTTTTTGCACAAACTTGCCATTAACAAAAAAGCACCACTCATCACAGAAATGGCGTAATTTTTATCGCACGACAGAGACATGATCATCTACAATGCAAAATGTCTACTAAAATGTTCGTGGGTTTTCTTTGAATCGTGGAAGGTTCTTCAAAATGAATAGTTCAAACAAAAATTGGACGAGCAACGAACGAGCGGCGCGCACACCGCGTGGGTTGCTCGGCGCGCAAATGTATACATACCTTAACATTTACTAAAAAAAAAAATGTAATTAGGATGTTGTAAATTAAAAGCATATAAAATTTTTCAGTCTGTTATTCGCATATGTTTCCATGAACGCCGATTGCAATATATGGAGAAGGAGCAGATGGAATCTTGGCAAAAAGCTAGACCGGGTGACAGGATTTTAGAGGTGGACGTCCCTCTTTCTTACGGAGCCTATGATATTATTCAACCAACAAATGCAGTGAATCTAGTTCACTTCAACTGGGATCCTACGAAAGAAGTTGGTGTTTATATTAAAGTGAGTTTATTGAAAACCACAATATCAATATTAAAATATATGCGCTGTTCTATATGCATTAGAGATCTACAAATTTTCAAAAATTGTTTTGTAATTTCTGAAAGAGCTTTCAAAAATTTGAAATACGTATTTTTCAATATAAATATGTTGTAATTTGCAGGTAAAGCAACTTTAGACACAGCATAACTATTATATTTTGACTTCGAGATTATCTGGTATAGTCTTTTCGAAGTCAGTTGAACATGTAAAAAAACGCCTGGCAATAAAATTGAATGACTTTCATAGGTGTCTCTAAAAATGTTTTCTGCTAAAGGTAAAAAATTATAATAATTTGCATATAATGTGTAAAAATTTCTATTATATGCTCATTTGGCCAACAACATATTTTAATTATTTATGTCCTCAAACAATTTTATTATATTGATGGTAAATTTCGTTTTGTTCTGTTTCAAAAGGTCTCCAAAATGCCATGTTGTAATAATATTATTTCTCCCTTTCACAATTGTAATATCAATGATTAATAGAAGGTGTCTATAATAAATTAAAATTACCTGAATCACACCAAATTCCGCATTGCTGCACTGCACTGCTGGGCAATTTGTCAACCCCTTGTCAACAGCTGAGATTTATTGCACAGTGGCCCAATGCAGCTCCGTTTGTATTTCGTTTGCCCACACTCACATTCTTTAACTAGGCATATACATTTCTACCACGTCCACGTTTAGTTCGACCAGACCTGTATATGGGTATGACTAAATAAATATGGGGACAAGTTTTTCAAATATTTCAATGCCGAGTTGCTGCGTCAGTGACCAAACCTGGTACATGCTGTCAACCTCTTGGTTCTTCAATTGATATCGGAAAGACTATAACTGGTACTCTTTCATTTAAGTACACCTTGTGTACAGGCTGTTCCACAAAGAAAGTGCACAAACTTTAAAGGAACATTTATTATATGAAAGCAAAACAAAAAGTTAATATAAACCTTGGTACTTAATTACAGTGTGTCCTAAAAATTGATCCTCAAATAATAAAAAACTTAAATATTTCAAGAAAGAATAATACCAGCTTTACTAAATTTGATACATACACAACTTACACCTTGTTATTAATTCAGTATTTCAATTGCTATCAGTGTTGTGATATGCAGGGAATTTTTTAATTAGCCCTGTATATTTTGTTAAAACAAAACATTTTGAAAAAAACTATGCTTGTGAGGGTTTCCTACTTTCTTAGGTTTTAAAGTAAATCGCAATATTTTTTAAAAGAATTTTAATTAATCGGTTAACATAAAAGAAATATTTAAATTTGGAGTTGATATACAAAAATAATAACAAATAAACAAATTAAACATAAACATTATGTAGATGTGGTTTAGCATTGAATAAATAAATAAAAAATAAAACCAACTTATTGATTATTAAATTTTGATAAAAGTAATATTTTCGCAAACTGTGTTGTTTCAACATAGTATACTGATATATATATTTCAAATATAAATTATATTTCACTGGTAACTGAATTACAAATTTATTATATTTTGCAAGGACTAAATATAGCTATTGCACTATTGCACCAGTTTTTGTGCAGCTTTCATTATGTCCTTGAAGTATATTAAAAATTTAATTTTTTCATCAAATTTCAAGGCATGTGTTCGGACCAACAAAGTTAAGGAAATAAACAAAAATCCCTAAATTTTAGTATCACCAATATTCAATATTAATAATTTGTTTACAATGAACAATGACAAACCATTACGTCTACGTTCTAGATAATGCATTCGCTGATTGGTTGAATAAAGTTTCGTGAAAACTTGTACCAATCACCAGCGGGTGAAACAGAATGTAGTGTGTTATCTTATTGTTTTAATTTTACTGAAATTTAATTGCCAATGTGAAAGAAATAATAGTTCAAATACAAGCCGATTAACAATTTCAAAACTGTTTCAATCAGTTGCAGACATGATGTCACTGATTCAACATAAGTTTAAATTGTTGTAAAACCAGAAAATTCCTCTACCTATGTAAAAAATTTAATTACTGTTAAAATTATAATTGGCAAAAGAAATAAAAATATGCAAATTATAAAGTATGTACTTTTTAACATATTTTACTCCATACTTACCCGAGGTTGACAAATCTTTAATTGTGGCACGCTACATTTTCCCTATGCGATTTTTCAACTGTAAAGTGCCAATAAAATTTCACCTTCAAGTGGCAGTATGGAACGACAGAGAAATGTGATAAAGGATTGATGGGAGTACAACTCATTGATTGGTCAAATTAAGGGTAGCCATAGTCAAAATTCTGTAAATGGTCATTTTGGTCTGTGGCATAACGGTTTTTATTTTAAAAATAGGTCTGTTTATGATATAATGTGTCACTGAACCTACATATTGAGCACAAATTTTATATGAGAGCAGTTACAAAAATACTTCCTTTAATATCAATTTAAATTTGAGTTTAATTATCATGTTTAATTTTTATTTATTATTATTATTATTATTATTATTATTATTATTTTTTTTTTTTCAGGTTAACTGTATTAGCACTGAATTTACCCCAAAGAAACACGGTGGCGAAAAAGGTGTTCCATTTCGCATCCAAGTAGAGACTTACCAGTACCCCGAAAACACAAATGGTACAAAGAGGTTACATGCAGCTGCTTGCCAAATTAAAGTTTTCAAGCTGAAAGGGGCCGACAGAAAACACAAGCAAGACAGGGAGAAAATCATGAAGCGCCCTATTTCTGAACAAGAAAAATATCAGCCCAGCTACGAATGTACCGTGCTGAATGATGTAAGTTTTCAGTTTTTTTGAAAACGAGCAGAACAAGCAAAAAAATTCAATGGTTTACGTACCGTTTACTACTGTTGAGAGAAAATGGAAATAAAATGCCGTCTAATATTGTCATGGACTGCATTTTATTAGAGTAAACCCTTCTATATGTATTTAAGGAGGTTTATCGGATACATGGATATGTCTAAAGTCTAACGAGAGTTTCTGTAGATTCGATAGTGACTAAAGTAGTAAGCCTTTATATTTGGCTGGCGCGCTCGGCTCGGCGTTCGCTCGCTCGCGTTTAATAATTCTGTTTGTTTAGATGCCTAAGCTTGAAATATACATCATATGTTACACCTGCAAATTTCAAATAATACGTTACGTCCAGACTGCGGCGTTGCCGCTATCACGCATATGGAGGTTAAGTTAGTCAACGACAGCAGTTTGACGGAGAATTATTATAAATTATGTATCTTAAAAGTACCTAATCGATTTCTACGAGCTGTCATACAGTTCCTTAGATATCGGTTGTTCGTCGATTGTTGCGCATTCTAAGTGGAAAGATAAAAAAAATCTGCATTCTCTGCAAACTAGTCATAATTCTTTTTGAGGATTTTCTTCATATTAATAAACTTATATTAAATTTTTTATGAATATTTGTTTGTCAATTCCAAATCAGATAGACCCCTTAAAAATATTACCAACTAAAATATGTATCATCGTTGCGCCTTCAAAATGTGACGTGCATATTTTCAGCAAAACGTGTTAAGTTCTGCGCCTTTGATAAACGACATCAAACTGCATAATCTGACTAATAACTGCCATCTTACTTTCTACAGAAATGTGACTGTCTGCAGTAAAATTAAAATTGTAATTCTTGAATAAAAGCGCCAAGAAACAGTTTTTTAACTTCATTGAACAATTTGGATAAAATTCACACATCACATTTTGAAGGCGTAATTACGATATGTTTATAAAATGTATTTAAAATAAGTATTTATTTTCACTTGAAATTTTCAATGTTCTGTTTACAAATATTTATATGCTACTAAAATAGTTATATGTATTTAAAATTTTCAGTAGATTGCTAATATTAATTTTTACTACCACAACTTTTTACATCTTACAATGCTATATTTGAAATATCTTGGGTATAGTTTTTCCGAAGTCAGTTGAACATGCAAAAAAACGCCTGGCAATAAAATTTAATAAGTTTCATAGGCGTCCCTAAAAAAGTTTTCTGCTAAAGGTAAAAAATTATAATAATTTGTATATAATGTGTAGAAAATTTCTATTATATGTTCATTTGGCCAACAACATATTTGAATTATTTATGTCTTCAAACAATTTTATTATATTGGTGGTAAATTTTGTTTTGTTCCATCTCAAAAGGTCTCCAAAATGCCATATTGTGATATTAGTAACCAAAATATCCCTCTTATTTCTCTCTTTCGCAATTGTAATATGAATATGATTGATAGAAGGTGCCTATAATAAATTAAGATTACCTGAATCACACCAAATTCCGTATTGTTGCACTGCACTGCTGGGCAATTTATCAACCACTTGTCAACTGCTGAGATTTATTGCCCAGTAGCCCAATACAACTGTGTTTGTTTTCCTTTGCCCGCGCTCGCATTCTTTAACTGGGCGTATAAATTTCTACCACCTCCACATTTAGTTTGACCAGACCTGTATATGGATATGGCTAAATAAATATGGGAACAAGTTTTTCAAATATTTCAATGCTGAGTTGCTGCGTCAGCGACCGAACCTGGTACATACTGTCAATCTGTTAGTTCTTCAATTGATATTGGAAAGACTATACCTGTTAAGTTATTATTACATATTAAAGAAACTCATTTATCGTGGAAATTTTTCGAGAAAAAATCAGAATGATAAATTGAAAACAATTTCGACATGGTTCACCTGTTATTGTCTATTATGCAAATTACAGTTAGTAAAAATTAAAATCGATGAAATATAAAATCCTTAATATTTGGTAATTTAGATGATTTCACGATAAAAAATGTCGGAAAAATAACGGAACTTTTCAAATTTTAAGAAAACTATTAAAACACTATCTATTGAAACAATATATAATTTGGAAGCTGTATATCTCTATAAAACAAAACTGCCATCATTAGGATCGATCAACGGATAGTCAAATTATAATGCTTAAACTGACAGTACCTTTTGTCACCTTGTTACAAAAACACGATGGATCAACGAGCTAATATTAAATTTTATTTTAAGCTCAGTAAAACTTTTACAGAAACATTTCAATTGTTCAAAAAAGTTTATGGTGATGATTCCTTATCCCGTGCATGTGTGTTCGAGTGGCATGAACGAATCCAGGGCAGTCGTGACGCTTTAGAAGACAACCTAAAGCAAAAAACAAAAATCGCAATGAGTTATGTCATTTTATTTTTGTATTCTTCTCAGCAAATCCTTTCATTTAATACCCATATCGTGGGAGTGCATAAAAAATAACTGGTCCGCCATCTTTGGGAGCCCGCCATATTGAATTCAGAATGACGTCACTTAGCTAGCCTAGGGTGACCATAAGTCCCGCATTGCGCTGGACGGTCCTTCATTTAGAAGTACCATCCAGCATTTAATACAGAGTGGAGATCTCTACCCTCTATCCCCTACTGACCATAAACAAATATGTAAGAAGTAGACCTCGATCTGGGCGGTGTCTTTTTTTGATTAATTCTGACCTTTGCCTCTGGATGGCGCAGATGCCTCTGCTTTTTGATGTAGAACATATTAAAAAAAATACATAGTGCTGAAAAATATTTGTAATAAAATATGTACTTTTTGTTTTTAGTTTTTATGTTATTATATTATTTTTTATATTTGTTTAAATAACAATACTTTAATAATTAAAAATTGACTTCTGATTTAAATTTATTTATATTTTATAACGTCTATCTAGCTCTTGCCATCCAGCATTGACTCCAAGAAAATCTGGTCACCCTAAGCTAACCATGCATTGTCATCTAAACTAAACATGTATGCAAAATTTCAGCTCAATTTGTTGGGGATACTGTCTTAAAATTCAGTTGCAAGATTTGACCCATACTAGCAAGAAAAGTTAAATAAAAGCTTGTAAAACAGATTTAAAATAAATTTCAAATTTTGTAAAATAGCTGAAAACTATAACACTTCACCGAACTTTAATTATGGATTTTTCATCACAAATAATAAAAAAAAAATGGAAATGTTTTATTTCCATATATATAAAATATGTTAATATAATAATACATTTTTGGAGACTTTAGTACTTTTTCATAATAGTGACACAAATTTGAAATAGCATGGAGGAGAAAAAAATTGCAAATAAATATTATTAACCTGAAAATGTTCCCTGTTATGTATGTATCAAACGTGTGTCATGCATATACAATTTTTACAATTTAATAAAATTTAATAATTTCCTTAAACTTTAACACCCTGTATAATTGTATATTATTTTTAATTTTGTATACTTTATTTATTTATCAACTAATTTGATATCTTTTACCGTTAAAGAGAAATTTCTTTTACGTCATGATGGGGAACGCAAAAGGTACCAAATCAATGTTGTTTTAAAATTACTTAAATCATGTCCAAAAGAAAAAGTATTTTTTACGTTTCTATTGTACAACACAAACATGTATTTTTTTATAAAAACCAGAACACTAAAATAATCTAGAAATCTTCCTCAATCTGCTTCTGTTGGTACAAGTATTAAATTTGAAATATTCGTATCATTGATTAATCAAATAAGATTTTAAGAAATATTTTCAAAAAATAATATTTAATTATTTCAGTTTGAAGCATAAGTTTACTTTCTTTACAGTTACCTAATGATGCAGTGTTAGCTACCCCACCTATTACACCGGTCAGTCCAGATCCACCTGATAGGTAAGTAAACATTTACCCTATTCCAGTCACTATATCTCTATACAAAGTTGTGTATTAGTGTGACAATGTATGATACTAGCTATGTATGATTATTATTACTTGATACAAACAAAATATTAAGATAATAATTGTGGAGAATAAAAAGTATTTTTCTTTATGGGACGCCTCATATATTTTTACATATTTAAAGTTTTTTTTATAATATGATGGTGTAAGTAGTTTTTCGTACCAAATTGCCAAATTATTTAGAAATTCCTTCAATTTTATGTAATACACGGTCTATTAAAATTTGCAATAATTTGCAAATGGCAATAATTAAAACCAAAGTATTTGACCAGTGTAGAAAATTTAACCAACCACTGCAAATCTCTGAAATCAATCAAATATGTCGATTGTCTCAGATCTTGAGTAGTTGATTTTAAAATATTACCATTTGAAAATTTATTACAAATTTTAATCTACTCCATCTTTTAATCTTATTTAATTAAAAATTTCTTTATTATTAAAAAAGAAATATGAATATTACTCACAGATTCTGAAACTACAAATTCTTTCAAATGCAATTTTAAGGGTTTTAATACTGGGTAGATTTAAACTTTGAAGATGACTTTATAGCTGGCTATACGAACACTTCATTTAAAATTTATGACATGTTATCTCTAATTACTAAGAGAACTTTGGTCAAAATACAGGTTAATTCTAATTCTATCTTGAGTCTGATATAACCAGTTTGAACTTACACTCGATAGAAAACTTTAAACAATTTTATAAAGAAAACACACTGGTTTAGAAAATATTGTTTGGTATCAATTAACTCTTCATAAAGAAAATTGAAATATTTTAATATTTTTAAACTTTAAGGAAATCATGGCTAAAAATTTATATTTGACTTTTTCATGAAATCGATCAATTTGACAGTCTTACACGAAATATTTAGAAGATTTATACATACATATTATTGCAATATGTATTGTTATATATTCGTATCAGTTTTTGAAATACCTACCATTATAATACCCTTCTTAACAATTCAGATTCATTTTTACAATTTGCACATAATTTTTTCTAACAAACAGCAGATTATATTTATTTTTTAAGTATTATTTTTAATACATAATATGCAAAATAAAATGCATGTTGAATGCATAATACAAGAAAATCAATTGACTTTTGCAATAAAAAATATAAACACCTAAGTACAAATTTTAAACAGAACATTTTTAGTTGTGAACGTGGCAGACCCCTTTTAATCTCCTTTCTATACTAGCATTATTAAATAGAGCATTAAATACAACTCTAAATAAATTATCATTTCACCTCTGCTCTGTTATTTATGATTTTTAAAGAAATATATTGTATCCTTTACAAACAAAAGTGATCTGTTTCAGCCTTTCTATGAGAAATTTGTATTTTTCAGAGCAATTTAAATAAATTTGTGTTTAACCACCTGGTATATTTTTTGATACTTTTGCTCTGATATAATTGTAATCTGTATGTTTTTTTTCTCATACAAAACACTTTTTAATGATTTTATTTGAGTAAATACTCAAAAATACCTGCATTTTCACGAACACAGGCACGACATCTTTTTAGTAACGAAAATGCAATTTGTTCGAAATTTATTGTTGCTTGAATCTGAGCATTATTTATTTTTTCTTCTAACTGCTCAGAATATCAAAATTGCTATCGCAGTAATTTTAAACCGCATTTTATTCGAGTATCGAAGTGTGTTTTCAGTTAGTTTTTTAAGTTTTACTCGAAAATCTGGCTTTTCTCGAAAAACATAAGAGGGTAATAATTTGTAGAAAATTGAAAGACGAATCCGAAAATATCATGATTATTACCGTAAAGCAGTGACGTACTATTTTATTTAGAAAAATATGCCACCGGTACCCTGTATTTCCGTCACTGAAGCATTTAAATTTTTAGAAAAGGCCTCAGATTTTGGACAATTATTACATAAATACTTGTGCCCAAATTATTTCACTTTCTAGTTATTAAATTATTTAAAAAAATTAAAAATATTTTTTGAAATTTAACACCCTGTATCATTTTAATGAAACGTCCTAGGTAAAAACTTTATAGGCAAGACCAAAGAATACGTGGTTTCATTTTTGATCACCATCTGTGAATCACCCTGTATATCTCTTTTTCCAGTAAATATTTTCATAGAAAGTGCAATTTAATATATTTAATTTTACCTCAAAACTAACATCCTCATTCATCAAGACCCCTATTTTTTGGGGTCTGTATAAAACACTTGTTAAATTACATTTTTGTGAAGTTGGTCCTTCATCATATCCAGATATTTCATAATTTCATTTTAAAAGGATTTGGGAAAATTATTAGAATTAATTTAAATAATGTAAACAGTGCAAGGCCAAGGCTAATAAATATTTAAAAGATAATAATATATTTATTTAAATTTTTTTAATCACAATGGCAGTAAAAACAAAACATTACTTGATATGAAACAGCGTCAATGAAATGAATATAAAATATTAAATCAAAAAGAGGAACAAAGACTTTCTTAAGATATGGATTTATTTATTATTTTTTCATTTTATTGAAAATTTATTCTTCTTAAAAAATTCTGCTTGCATTCAAATGTTCAAAAAATGGGCCCAACATATTCAAAGTATTCCCTATCAAAAAAAGAATGGAAATACAGGACATGATATTGAAATATGTGTAGCCTAGATCATGAAACCATTGATATCAATGACAGAAACTTTTTTAGTTAAGATTTGACATTTTGAGAAATGATCCTACTTATTAAAAAGTAATTTGTAGCATATTTTTATTTTTCAAAAATTAAGTAGGTTTTGCCGGAAAAGCACATCTTTTTCATGCCTATATTTTTCTTTTTTTCAGTTTCTCCAGTTTGTAAAAGTAAAGAAACCTTTTTTGTGTAAAAATAAAAGATCGAAAAAAATAAATAAACATTAAATAGACAGTCTTAACAATGAAAGTTCTCTTTAGGAGCATCAAAATAGGGGTGCGAATCTGAGAAAAATAATAATAAATATATGTATTTTTTTTATCGCGTTTCAGTGACAGCCGCTAAATATATATTTTCAAAATTTAATTGTCTTAAAAAAACGCATTTTCCCAAGATATATCGATCATGCTGTACATGTATAGTGTTTAGGGCGAGTCAGTTTTAATATTGGACTTGAGAGTATATAATAGTACTTCTGAAAATATAGTGTTTTTCATATATGAAAATTTTCCAAAAATGTTCCCTCATTATTTTCATTGTCACAATCAACTTTGCAAATTGCAAATTTTTTCAATATTAATTATTAATAATTAAAATATGAACATAAAAATACAAAAAAAAATGAGAACACCAGTTGTTACGTTTTTAATTTTAATATCTTAATAAAAATTGCAACGCGGGCATTTTGAGGGGTGTAAAATAACGTCTAGTTGTTAGATTGCAGATTAAAAAATCGCTAATACATTTAAAAACTCGCAGCGGCGTAGGATTGCAATTTAGAGGGTTTTAGTTTTTAAATATGCTCATTTTTAGAGCATTTTTTAAGAAAAATATTTGAGCTTATGCTTTTTTACTTTTTATGTAATACTTAAATGTGGACAAATTGCAAATTATTTTAAAAACTTTTAATTCTAACATGTCTAAAAATTAATTGTAGTTGTTCATGTGTTTAATACGATTAGTTTCTAGTAAGATCTGGTACGTTTGGCACGGATGTACCAGCCATAATTTAAGTGAATAGTTATCCTCGATACTGGATATTTTCCAGTAATCGGTAAATCCTACGATATTACTTTACTTTATTGGCTTTAATCGGCCACCAGCACCGAAAATATCGTCTGATGCAATAATATGACTGACTGTGCGGGAGCTGTTGTTGCCTCGGTTGTTGCTTTCAGGATTTGTTTCTGATACACCAGTTTTCTCTGCCTGAAACAGTATAGAACCCAACACAGCACCCAGTGATATCTAATAACCACTAACAATAACTAGCCGTATCGGTTTCTGCTTTAACTCTCCGTTTTGTACGCCGAGAAATGTTTTATTTCGTATATTACACCATACATTTACGTTTGCGAGTACCTGAAGTTCATATAGGGTGAGCAAATATTGATAGTAGTCCTTAAGAAACGACACCGTTAAAATTATTTTTTTTATCTTTTATCTACTCACAAATGACTTTTACTATATAATATGTAACCATTAAGATTCTTATAACTGATGTTGAATAGGTTTAGTACCTATATCAACATTATTTATATTTCCTATTTATTTTTTTTATTCTGAATGAACTAAGAATTTTTAGTTATCTACATCTATCTTGCAAATGTTAGAATGGTGAATTCCAACGTCATAAGTTCGCAAAAAAAACAGGGCACTCAGTTAGTAGGCCAAATGTCAATACATTCACGATAATCACGATGGGGGGGTATTAAATAAAGTTTTGTCGAAGATTGCTTTGTTTTCGATGTTTCCAAGATACAGGGTGATAAAGTTGAAAATATTAAATAAGGATATATTTAATATTTGTAATGATTTTTAAATATAAAAAATGTACTTATTGTAAGTTGGTAAAATGCATAATTTCAGAGATATGTAAATGAATTCCAATTTTCTGCTGCAGTTATTATTTATCAATTATGGATAGCAGAATATTTTTGTGCATTCTGATGCAAACATTATCTTTTTGCTATTACGAGTACTATACTGGTTATTTAATGTAAAAAACTGTTGAAAGTGTCGTGAAGTGAATCGAAAAAAAGTTTTCAAACAAGTTTTAATTAATTAAGTATTCAAATTGCGACCCATTTACTTCCATACAGTATTAAAACCTTTGTTCAACATTTTCCCGAACATTTTGTAGCATTTCATCACATGCTATTACTATTCGGGGGGCGAAGATCGTCTAAAGAGGTAGATTTCGTTTTATAAATAACACTTTTTACCTGACCCCATAAGAAAAAGTCCAATGGTGTTAAATCAGGCGATCTTGGGGGCC